TTTTTTTTATCCCGCATTTTTGTCTATCGACGCCCACCACAATACTCTGAACCACGCGTTACATCGCGTTTAAAAATAGAAAAATATACCCCAAAAACGAGACATCAATTACTATGATACCACAGATTTTATCAATTAAAAGTAATACAATCAGCTTATTACAATGGGATAAACAAAAGACGTAAGAACACTTATCGAGATTGGTTTGTTTTCACACCAACTTCTGCATCTAACGAAGCGGTATCGACGCCATCTTGCTTTGTCAAAATTGAGATAGGTGGCGCTCGCTATCTGCTCCGGAATCAGGGGGAGGTAAGTCTACATTGACGTGTCATAAAATTGGTAAGGCAGAGGAGGAGTTGCTAATCCCCTTCACTATACGTCCCTGATTCTATATATAACGAGGGTGAGAAACTATTGGAACACAAATTTAACGAAGACCGCTTTGGTTTACGGAGAACACGACTCGCTTCCCGGGGAGGATTTTATAAGAGCGTTGTATGTGCTTTGTTTGTTTGAAATAAAGCATTTAGGCGCATACGTTTTTTTCCAATAATACATTTAGATTAGCAATGAAAATGCGGTGAGGCAAGAGGAAAAACCAAACCCATCCGAACCCCACCTTAATGGAATGTTCTGTTTTATTGAGGAAAATTTGCTTAAATAGAAAACTATATCTTGTATTAACATACTCTTCTATGAAGGTTTTATAACTATTTATTTTATTTTGTTAAATTTGGCAATGTGACGCAGATATCACTAACGATTAATGTGTTATCGGTTCAATAAAAGAAACAGCCTCAAATTTGCATGAGCTTTGGTTACCGCCTCCCACATCTATTGTTGATGACGTCACACTATTTTTTCTCGTTCGCGGACAATTTGCATAGCTCCGCCCACTTGCATTGTTGCCAACGTCAGTAAACGTTTTCACGTTCTCCGGTCACGTTATGAGATGATAACACAAGTAGGAACAATGGTTATTCAGCGAATGTAAGTTAGACTGTAAATAAAACAACAGAAATCAATGTTAAAAGTGCCTCCACTAGACATCAAAGCCCTTCAGTCTAGCCGGCAACAAACGAGTGGATTGTTTACTAACGTTATACAATTTCGTCTAGGTAAAATCAAACATCGCTACGGAAAGAATCGTTCACAATACAAGTTTCATCAATTGGTTGCAGGTCCCCTTTTATGTCGGCACTAAAACACTAAAGGACTGTGTCACGTAGATAATATATTCTGTAAATTTTGAAAACATGTTTGCTAATTTTGTTGAAAAAATATTGGTATTTAAATAGAGAATAAGAGGATTAAGTGTACAATACTTTTATCGGCTTTGTATTAAATCTAAATGTGTGAGTACAATGAATATTACACATTCAGACATATTGATGATATTTGTGTTCTTTTTCCATATTTATTTCCAATTTCATAGCCGAATTGTTATACATTTATGATTTACCGAGTGGAACAAATAAATCATGTTTCCCTACGACGAGGGCAATAAATATTTAAATGACCTGAAATAGAGCCATAACATAAAACGCAATATGCCATTGTTGTCGTCTGTTTCAGTCACTCGGGACTTAGGTTGAGTGCCTCTTGCTATTTTTTTTCTAGAAAGGATCCGAATAAGGGAAATACGACGCGTAAAACCTGAGCGCGAGAGGGAAACACGATGTTTTATTTCCCCTTATTTAATCAGTATAATTAAATTAGATACGCTGAGATATAGAAGAGGTATGATGATACAGCATGACAACAATGGTTACAGAGTACGAAAGCTTATGACGCACGTCACGACTTTCCTTTTCTCAGAAGCTACACCCAAGATGCATATTTAGTGTTTGTTGATACTGCTTTTGTGTATTGAAATATATTGTTACTTTTCTATAGTATGCTTTTTTATACTCCAGCTGAGGGTAAAATGTTTACTACAGTAGCCGTGTATCTGATGAGGATAAGAATTCGTACACAACGTGATGGCCATTTCTGTATTGCACAGCTATTACTACTTATTTTTCTCCTATATTCAAAACTAATAAAAAAACTTAGTTCAGGAAACATTACATCTAAAATTATGTGCTGTCATTAATACGAATGTGGTAATATTATTTGATAAAAATCGATAACGTTATTCTATCAGGCGAAACATTTTACGACGATTATTCTATTGTCAAAATGAATAACGCGATTTTATCAGGCTATTGTTTTTATGTCACTGGTCTGTTGTGATATATTTGATGTGTTTCATCAATTATTCATTATCAATTTCATTTGAGCTGTCTTTTCCTGCCAATGAGTAAGAGGGATAACCACCGTAAGAATACGATTTTTTTTCACATGTTTGTGTATTACGCGCACTCATTTTATAGCACATCATCGTAGCAGGACCACAGACAACGATTGAAACTAAAATGTATATAAATATAATCTCATAATCATTAATTAGCTAATGGAAATATAACTATATCATCACCTGACGGCACATTGTAAAACTATAACAAAATTATGAATATAAATGTTTTTAATTTTATTTTTATTTTGACTATAAAATATTAAAACAAATATATACTCCGTTACACTGTGTATCAATCTGCCCGTCATGATGGATTTGAGTGAGACATTTACTACAGGGCTGAATGATTCATCGAAATTATAGTACGTCAGCAGCTACTGAACTGTAACAGGAACTGTCAGGGTTCACGGGCATGATAAATAGCATGTCCACCTACATCGAAAGGATATGTATGTTTTCCTTTGTAAAAATTATATTAATTTTTTATTTCGGGATGTTTCTGGATTTCATTGTGGTAGTGCATCATCTCCCTGTCGTTACAAATGGTTGGTTTATAATTACTATTTAACTTTTAACTTTTACGCGAAATTAGCTATTAATTTGGAATTATTTTACAATAAGCATGCCCATACATAACAGAATATAAAATTTGACTGTATCTTAAATACGGTCAAATTGGATACAAACAGTGCTTGAATTATTCAAATGTAGAAAATTATCCCAAATTTAGAAAATAATTGTCCAAAGATTTTGATAGTTTTTTTTTAATATTATTTTTAGCCTTTTTGTTGTTGTTTTTTGTTTTTCTTTATCATTAATTTCGTTTTTTTTTGTTTTTTTTTAATTATTGTGTTTTAGAGGAAAAGCGCTTCATGAGCGGTTGAATGTTTGTTTTAAAAGCTCACTTAAAAACGGAGTTAGAAATGGCAGTATAGGATCGCCTGTAAAGGCGATAATTAGTAAAAACTTTTTCGCGAAATTAACCAATAATTGTGAATTATTTTACAATAAAAAAAAATTGTCAGTGGAAAAGTCATGCATGTCATTTATTTTACTAGGTTGTTTGCAAACAGAAATAAATCAGGTCCTTCCGTCATTATTTAAGGGTTCGATAATTCGGAATATTTTCGGAAAATCCAGAATACTTTCCTAATGATGTTGGTTGGCATGTCAAATATATCATGGAACATACGTCGAAATTCCTACCAAAATTGGGTGTTTAACTGAAAATCAAACTTAACCCCCTCCCCCTCCAAAACAATGCTATGGATATCTTATGTTTCTTGTTAAGAATATAAATTTAAGGATTAAAATCAATGCATATTCTGAACATCTATGATGATATATGACCCACTTAAATGCAAACCTTTTTTCAAGGAAAACTACTGTGCACAATGGATAACGTTTGTAAGCAACAGGATCTCATTTCATTATTAAGTACGAATCCGTATCACACCTAAATGTATTAGGAATGCAAATGCAATGTACATTTATGTGAACTCTCTAATTTTCGTGGGGTTCGTGGGTGCTCGTCATTGACGAATTCATGGATCAACGACGTAATTGCACGTTTGACATAAAGCCGTATGAGTGGTTACTTGTAATGCACGAATTCATGTACCAATGAAATGGTATTTGTTTCGGGAAACCATCAAATGTGGTCCCCATAAAAGATATCTGATTTCACAGTAGTCATTGTTAAGAAAACAACAAACATGTCTCCAAATCATTTGCATAGCAACCAGATGAACAGAAGATTGTTTACAACTGCGATTTACTCCCGATTTTTGAAGTTCTTCTTTATACCATACTTAGTTCATGTTCAGGGAAAGGCTATACTTTGTTAGGAGTCGAACCCAGGGCTATAGATAACTGATCCAATGTCTTATCGATGGAGCTTAATTGCAAACTGTTAAAATTGCAAAGTGTTGTTTCAACGAATACTTACCATACTTGTTTTTAAGAAATTCAGTCGTGATACAAAAGAGTTCCAACTCGACCTCGTGAGTGTCCGTACTTCCCGCCGATTTGAAGGATGTAAGTCATTACTTCCGGTTTTGCGTTGTAACACCTTACGGTATAATTCAAGAATGTACAAAACTGCGTCTTCAGAAAGATGGGATTTTTGTGTACTTTTGTCTATTGTTTTGATAGCCTGTGATGCACAGAACGTGGTGACGTCATCAATTGTTATGTCTGCGTTGCCAAGGTCATGATATCGATACCGCATGCATTTATCTGTGAGGTGGTCGATGTCACTTTTTATGTTATGCCCTGTAGCATAGATGTTCAATGGCCATAACAATGCAAGGGCGAAAACCACAGACAAACTGTGCAGACCCTACAAAAAATTGCAACACATCATTAGAATTTGCACAAACAAATAAATCACACTTGATTACTATCAGAGAGCGCCAAAGTATAGCAATTCATGTGCTATTCATTCCTTGTTCATACTGCCAAATGTGTTCCCCGAAAAGGAATGCATTTAATTTTTAGCAATTTGTAATTTATAATTTTATAACATAGTTTCAATGTTTTGATATTATTCAGGTAAATCGGAATTTATCATTAAATGATATTGGACAGCAAGAATTATAAGACATTGCTTAGTGTAAGGGAGATAAATCTAAAATAAAATGAACATCACCTTAAAAATTGTTTTACATTTTGGTTTAGCAAATTTCGATTTGAAAATTATTTTATGCAAATAAATATAATGTCTTATTGAACTCAAAAGAAAAATATTAACTGAAATTGATGCAAAAATACCGAATGTTATGTAAACATGACTATTTTCGTTGCTCTACACAGCGGTAGAAATATTACCCCTAAGTCATATGTTAAACGAAACAACAATACAAAAATGTTTGTGCTATAAATGACATAATGTTTTTTCCCTTTGTTTTGTTTTGATGTCTTTTGTTTTCTTATCATTCCTAACGGTACGACATTTATTTGTTTCCATTTCATTTAACATAAGAGTTTTGTATACGCCCAAAGAGAGAGACAAAGTAAAAAACATGATAATTTCGTATACGATATACCTTTGTTTATATACCTTATCAATGAGGCTACTGACATGTGGTATATATAAGTGTTAGTACGCCTAATTAAGCACATTTTATCATCTAGAAACAATTTGATAAAAAACTAGAAAGTGGTCCGTTTATGCTGTATTTCAATAACATGCCTTACAGCACCAATCTTAAAAATATTTATTAAAGCCATTTTCATACATTGGGGTCATACCCACCGTTTATACAAAATTGAGTCCCCTTGGCCCAAGGATGCTCCAGACTAAATAAGGATAAAATCCAGTCATTCGTACAGAAGAAGGTATTTGAAGAATTTGCTTTGTTTCCCCTATCGGGCCCCGCCCTTCTGCACCCAGGGGGGCCACACTCACTGTTTATACAAAATTGAGTCCCTTAATTTTGCCCAAGATCCTCCAGACCAAATTGGGGAGAAATCCCTTCATCCCTATGGTAGAAGAAGGATTTTAAAGGTTTACCTCTATTTCCCCTATTGGGCCCCGCCCTTGGAGACCAGACACACCGTTTATACAAAATTGAGTTCCCTTGGCCCAAGGATGCTCCAGACTAAATTAGGATAAAATCCCTTAACCCCTATGGCAGAAGAACGATTTTAAAGGTTTTACCTATATTTCCCCTATTGGGCCCCGCCTCTCTGCCTCCAGGGGATCAGACACACCGTTTATACAAAAGTTGTTCCCCTTTACCTTAGGATACTTCATACCAAATTTGGACAAAATCCTGTCATTCCTACAGAAGATGAAGGATTTTGAAGAATTTGCTATGTTTCCCCTTTTGGGCCCATCCTCCCTTCTGCCCCCAGGGGGGCCACACTCGCTATTCATATGAAATTGAGTCCCTTTTGCCCAAGGATGCTCCAGACTAAATAAGGATAAAATCCCATATTCCCTATGGTAGAAGAAGCATTATAAAGGTTTTACCTCTAGTTCCCCTATTGGGCCCCACCCCTCAGGTCCCAGGGGGGCTACACCCATCATTTATACAAAATTGGTTCCCCTTCACCCAAGTATGTTCCACACCAAATATGGACATAATCCTTTCATTCCTACAGAAGGAGAAGGATTTTGAAGAATTTGCTATGTTTCCCCTATTGGGTCCCGCCCCTCAGCCCCCAGGGGGGTAAGACCCACCGTTTATACAAAATGTGTTCCCCTTTACCCTAGGATGCTCCACACCAAATATGGACTAAATTTTTTCATTCTTACAGAAGAAGGATTTTAAAGAATAATTTGCTATGTTTCCCTATTGGGCCCCGCACCATTAGGCCCCTGGGGGGTCAGACCCACGGTTTATACAAAATAGGTTCCCCTTTACCCAAGGATGCTTCAGACCAAATATGGACCAAATCCTTTCATTCCTCCCGAAGTAGAAGGATTTTAAAGAATTTACTATGTTTCCCCTATTGGGCCCCGCCCCTCAGGCCCATGGGGGCCATACCCACCGTTTATACAAAATTGGTTCCCTACACCCAAGGATGCTTCATGCCAAATATGGAACAAATCCTTTTATTCCTACAGAAGAAGAAGGATTTTAATGAATTTGCTATATTTCCCCTATAGGGCCCCGCCCCTCAGCCCCCAGGGGGGGCAGACCCACCATTTCTACAAAATTTGTTCCCCTTCCCCAACGAAGCTTCTGACCATATATTGAACAAATTCTTTCATTCCTACAGAAGAAGAAGGATTTGACAGAATTTACTATGTTTCCCCTATTGGGCCCCGCCCTTCAGGCCCATGGGGGCCAGACCCACCGTTAATACAAAATTGGTTCCCCTACACCCAAGGATGCTTCATGCCAAATATGGAACACATCCTTTTATTCCTACAGAAGAAGAAGGATTTTAAAGAATTTGTTATATTTCCCCTATTGGGCCACGCCCCTCAGCCCCCAGGGGGGCCAGACACACCGTTTATACAAAATTGGTTCCCCTTCACCCAAAAATGCTTCAGACCAAATATGGACCAAATCCTTTCATTCCTACCGAAGAAGAAGGATTTTAAAGAATTTACTATGTTTCCCCTATTGGGCCCCGCCCCTCAGGCCCATGGAGGCCAGACCCACCGTTTATACAAAATTGGTTCCCTACACCCAAGGATGCTTCATGCCAAATATGGAACAAATCCTTTTATTCCTACAGAAGAAGAAGGATTTTAAAGAATTTGCTATATTTCCCCTATTGGGCTCCGCCCATCAGCCACCAGGGGGGCCAGACCCACCATTTCTACAAAATTTGTTCCCCTTCCCCCAAGGAAGCTTCTGACCAAATATTGAACAAATCCTTTCATTCCTACAAAAGAAGAAGGATTTTAAAGAATTTTTTATATTTCCCCTATTTGGCCACGCCCCTCAGCCCCCAGGGGGACCAGACCCACCATTTATAGAAAATTTGTTCCCCTTCCCCCAAGGAAGCTTCTGACCAAATATTGAACAAATCCTTTCATTCCTACAAAAGAAGAGGGATTTTAAAGAATTTGTTATATTTCTTCTATTGGGCCACGCCCCTCAGCCCCCAGGGGGGCCAGACCCACCATTTCTAAAAAATTTGTTCCCCTTTTTCCAAGGATGCTTCTGACCAAATTTGGTCAAAATCTTCTCAGTCGTTCATGACTAGAAGTGTTTTAAAGGAAAAGATGCCGGACGGACAACGGACGGACGGACAACGGACGGACGCTGCGGTATGGCATAAGCTCACCATGGTCCTTCGGACCAGGTGAGCTAAAAATGTATGCTTTCTGCATTCAATTTATTGGAAATATTTAAATGCAAAACGGAAACTGATCAATGAAAAACATTTCAAATATAGATATAATGGATATCTTCTGCATTTAATATAGTTGATTTTTTTGCATATGCAAGGTGGAAATTGGTGAATTATTTTATAGATTATCATGTCTTAAATTATTGATATGTTTATATGTTTCATTTGAATAATCCGATAAAAAAGCATATATGAAACATTAATTTGATGCCGGTAAAATCATACTTTTGTTTTGAAGAATATTTTCCCATTATGTCATCATGCATTTAGTTAAATGTATATGGGGTAAAGTCATAGTTATGTTTTGAAGAATCGACTGTCATATTTATACAATTTTAAATTTCAAAGTATGTTTTTGATTAGTTTAAATATATTGATTTGAAAAAAAATCAAAAGGACCATGACACAAGTTATAACAGTTTAGATAACCCTTCATAGGTTATCCCTGTTTAAACGAAAATAACCTCATTATAAAAATATTAAATTTTGATGTTTCTCAGTATCAAATTGCCTGAAGGAAATATATTTTGAGATTTGATATATTAATTCATTATTTAAAATACCATATGGCACATGACAATTTGATCGTGTAAATCTGGCTAGGCGAACCCAGTCTAATTCTAGGAAATTATTAAGGTTTTTATTATGAATATTTATATGTTTTCCGTTTAAATCAATCAAAAAGAAATATTTCACCTGTTCTCAAAGAAAAATGCGTGACCTTTTAAGGATTTTTAACGTGTCTATATTATGTCTGTGTTATATAAGTAAATAATCGCCACTACTCACCATTATTGCAACTAAGCGACAACCAAAAACACTTGTTGTCCTCCCAGCTGCTGAAAGATAAACTATAAACATGAGATATTTGTTTATCTTCAGCATTTATACCTTACGGCTCCTTAGAACATAAACATCCGGACCCTAGTCATCAAACCTGACACCTGTTTATTAGAAAACGGCCGATTTGTTTCTGATAAACTTTAACCTGTCAGAAAGTGAGACTTTAATTCGTCCAGCTTTGTGAATGAGTGTACAGTGGTCACGCGCCTTGCCTTGGAGTTAGATAGATTACGCTAATAAGTTCATACGTTCTTACTGTGAGGTGGGGGTGGTGATCTGGAAAAAAAATATGAAAAACAAAAACATGCATCAATCAATAGTGTCTATGTACGCACTTTTTTAACCCGGGATACGTAGAACCTGGAGAAATGTACTTAAACCCATCGAAGAGATATTTGAATTGTTTATGTTGCTTACTGTCGATAATTAATCATTAAACAGTAAGCAAAATCTGTATCATTTATAACTATAATATCAATACAATATGTTCATATATATACCACCAAGGGGGAGGGGACTTATATAGGCTTTAAGCCCGTTGTCCAATCCTTTTGACATTGTTATATTATTTGGTCAATACAATTTGTTGAAATTGAACATTGAATTGTTTATCATTTACGGATACCTTCCGAGCAGGGCTATACATTGGATAATTTTGTGGAAATGCTCGCATTTCTTATGCAGTGGGAATATTAACGTGAAAATATCCACACGAGAATAATATAAGTTTAAAAACTCACAACGTGAACATTTCCCCTTTTAAATTAAGCATGGATAGAAGACATCTTTACTCTTAAAATTTTGTGGAATATTTCGGCATGTTGTTTTAGATTTTGCTTTGTCTCGATTTTTTTTTTATCGACATTTTAATGGTCCGAGAGTATCTATGATAGTTGCCTTTATATTAATTAAAGTATAAATAAATTAGTACATATAACTGTATTTTGTTTGCAAAAGTGTGTCGATGGAAGAAAGTGCAATGAGACCATGGAACTTTTATTTTGGTAAATGACTAAAATCCCCTCACTTTCTAGAGTCCTATTCAGATTTCTCATCCCCTCAGGAGCAGTTATCTTCCTATCTCAATTACATACGATACTTTCCTATATTCTTCATCACATTCTGTTCCGTCATGAGTTGAACTGTTGGAGTTTTATTTAACTTTATATTTACATTTGAAACAAGACGGTGTTAATAGTTAAAAAAAAAACCACCAGTTAAGTAAAAGCATAAAATGTAATGGTGGAATTTTTGCTTGTGGAAAAATCATCGCGATGTGACTATTTTAACTGATCGTGAAAAGGAAAGGTTCGCGTTGGCAACGATTCTTAAATCTATAAATGATATAAATTTATAATATATTTCAACGATAAATACAAATTTGCATGTGGATATTTTCGAGCTAATTTACTCATAGGGGAAAATGCGAGCATTTCACCGGGATCATCTCCATGTTTAAAGTAAATGCATACACCTATCTTGTCACGCCAAAAGGAAATGCATAGATTTTCATGGTATTGTCAATAAATCAAACGACGCCTACTATCTAAGAATACCTGATCTATAATTATTTGATATTAAGCCTAAAGACAATAAATGATTTGAATTCAATTCAATTCTTCTTGTACTTATGAAAATATCGGCATTTTTTTCTTTTTTTTTTTGAACATTTTTCTAGTTTCACCTATTATTAGTTCGAATTACTTCTTTTCGGGGACATATCGGACTGTTATGTCGAAGTAGCCGGCACAGAACTTTTTGAAACACATGTGATATTCGATATATTTAAGTTTATGATAATTCCATGGTGTCATATGACGTGTTTGCTTATCTGGTGCAATACTCCAAGGGAGCTTCAATCCATGTGGGAATATCATAACATCGACATTTACAATGTATTGGACTATTATTGGTCTTACTGATTTAGTAGATTCACACTAATGTGAACTGAAATACTCTATAGTAATTATAATTTCTTAGGTATGGCTGTTTTTTTTCAAATCCCTTTTCAAAACAGTAAATGTCTCTATAATATCCTTACCTACCTATAAACTGTTGGTCTGTTCAAAAATATATAACTAGCAATGGACACTTTCAATTTACAAGCTGACAGTTGTCTTTTACCTTTCCGTTTGTTTAGTGTCATCTCCTTTTATATATTTTTTTTCTACCTCTTATTGGCCTTTATTACCTCTTCTGTGTTGTTGAGCCGTAAAGAACAAATGATAAATAAATCCTTCTATGGTATATTCTATGCTTACCTGTGAGTTAGTAGATTATTTGTATTTGATATATTTATCCAGTAAAAAGGGATAACAAGCATAGTTTAAGTGCTAACGTTCACCATACTGCTGATAAAGAATGTAACTATGAATGCGAAACATTTTTTTATTGTCGTGAACATATCTTTAATACATCGTTTCTGTAAAAAATATGTGTCTTGTAGAATGTATAGATAATGATAACAAAACTAATAAACAACACTGTTTGAAAGGAAAGTATGCCACATGATCAGAATGGGTGTCGAACTAAAGACCTCCAGTCTCACTATGGTCTCGTGCTAGTTATCTGCCCTTGTCCACTACAGTAACATTTAAGGATCCTTGTCCCATACATTGTGTGTTCCCTATATACTGACCCGCCCCTTAACTTCGTTTCGTTTGGATACAACTGTAGAACAGTTGACCGAAGACTAGGTAGTTCAATCGGCTAGAGCGATGGTATAACAATCTAAAGTTCAAGGTTCGAATCCCGTCTAGCTCCGCTGAAATAAGTCCCAAACCGGTTTCCGGGGTGACTATAGGTAATCACTCCGTCCGTTCTTCCGTCCGCCCGTCCTCCCGGCTGAGAAGTTTGTCCGCGTTATATCTTATATACTTTTTTCACCTGGAGTATCCAGATTTGGTTTACAAGGACATCTGTGGATGGCCGAGTGCAGAGTGCAGAATTATGTCACTGTCACCTTTGATTTGACCTTTGAACTTTACTTTTCAAATAGTTTGTCCGGGGCATATCTTCTATACTATTTCGCCTGCAGTAACCTGATTTGGTGTACAAAGACATCTTGGGATGACTATGACCTCACTGTGATCTCTCTTTTGAAATTTGACCTTATCTCTCGTCCGGAGCATATCTTCTATACTATTTCACCGGCTGTAACAGATTTCTTGGAAATATCATTGATTTCGTATGGAGGAACATTTTGGAATATTTGATGCACTAAAAGGAAGGATATTTTACGTTCATTGCTAACATTGTACCGTGCATTTTTCCCGATTTTGCCATGGCTGCAAATTGCTGCTGTCACCAAAATCTTCCATATCCTAGGTAAGTAAAAACTGTGTAACCGGTCACTTTATTAACAGTAGGTACATCCTGGAATAAGTGTACTTTTTGTTAAATATAGAAATCATAACCGATGGTGGACTATTGATTATCTTACAATACTTTGTCTTGTTATATTTTGTTTATTTCTTCTTTTATTATTTCTCATAAAAGTCCCGTAACGTATGGTTTTTCTGTATAGAAATGATGTATCAAAGCTATAATCAAGCTGGAAAATATAGTTTCCAGTACTTGATTACAGTTTTTGGCAGTTGTACAAGGNTACTGACCCGCCCCTTAACTTCGTTTCGTTTGGATACAACTGTAGAACAGTTGACCGAAGACTAGGTAGTTCAATCGGCTAGAGCGATGGTATAACAATCTAAAGTTCAAGGTTCGAATCCCGTCTAGCTCCGCTGAAATAAGTCCCAAACCGGTTTCCGGGGTGACTATAGGTAATCACTCCGTCCGTTCTTCCGTCCGCCCGTCCTCCCGGCTGAGAAGTTTGTCCGCGTTATATCTTATATACTTTTTTCACCTGGAGTATCCAGATTTGGTTTACAAGGACATCTGTGGATGGCCGAGTGCAGAGTGCAGAATTATGTCACTGTCACCTTTGATTTGACCTTTGAACTTTACTTTTCAAATAGTTTGTCCGGGGCATATCTTCTATACTATTTCGCCTGCAGTAACCTGATTTGGTGTACAAAGACATCTTGGGATGACTATGACCTCACTGTGATCTCTCTTTTGAAATTTGACCTTATCTCTCGTCCGGAGCATATCTTCTATACTATTTCACCGGCTGTAACAGATTTCTTGGAAATATCATTGATTTCGTATGGAGGAACATTTTGGAATATTTGATGCACTAAAAGGAAGGATATTTTACGTTCATTGCTAACATTGTACCGTGCATTTTTCCCGATTTTGCCATGGCTGCAAATTGCTGCTGTCACCAAAATCTTCCATATCCTAGGTAAGTAAAAACTGTGTAACCGGTCACTTTATTAACAGTAGGTACATCCTGGAATAAGTGTACTTTTTGTTAAATATAGAAATCATAACCGATGGTGGACTATTGATTATCTTACAATACTTTGTCTTGTTATATTTTGTTTATTTCTTCTTTTATTATTTCTCATAAAAGTCCCGTAACGTATGGTTTTTCTGTATAGAAATGATGTATCAAAGCTATAATCAAGCTGGAAAATATAGTTTCCAGTACTTGATTACAGTTTTTGGCAGTTGTACAAGGATATACTTAAGGTCATAGGAGTGTATTGCTAAACGGAAATAGGAAGTACATCCCTAGTTGAAAATCCAATGTAGGGAGACAGTATCACAATTTCCGCATAATCTTATGTTTAATATTAAAGTGATGAATATTGTATGCTTATTATTGACAGAACAGTGTGTTCTTTCAATATTAAAGTATTGCAAAGCAATCCAGTCATTAATTCAGTTGTTTTTTAATCAATGAGTCGCATGTGTCCATTTTTCTGTACTCCAGGAAACCGGCTACCTATTTCACTACTGTGAGGTTTTTCAAGAACGATAACTCTTGCATTCAATTACTATGTGTATACGGTTTTATTATAAAATGTCAATTTTTAATCGTTTATAGATGATTAATTTTACACAATTTCAGTATTTATGAAATTGATATACATTAATGCAATACTAATCTATGTTAGTATCATTTTTATTGACATTATTTTGACAAAATATTGTGTGTTTCAATTTTTTCTCTCCAAATACACTCCTTTTTACATAAATTTCCATTTAAAATCCTTAAAATTCAGACAACCTATTTTTTTTTTTTTTTTTTGTGGCAGAACATTTTCTTTACTTCAAAGCAATATAACTACAAAATTTGAATAAATTCTACTGAGAAATGGTGACACAATCCTATTACTTTAAAAACAAAATAAAGGGTAAGTACATTTGTAACCGAGTGTATGAAAAAACTAAAATGGATTTCCTTATTGGTCTGCCGTTGTAAGACAGGGATCAATAAATAGTCAAGGGGAGCCAGGAAACCACATCTAGATCACGTACAAATAGGGTTGTACCATATACGTTGTATTTGCCTTTATCTATGTATTTAAATATTACATGAAATAGTCACGTTATATCAAATTGAAACTTTCGTTTTAATTTTTTTTATTCGCTTAATTTTAACTATATATATCAACGCACAATCTCAACAGGTTGTCATGTTTTTTTTACGTATAATTATTTTATCATAAGGCTTTATTTAGTTGTCAAATAATCAATTTATATAAACTGAATTTTATATTACTCAGTTTAATTATATTTGCACATTTTACTTTAAATTGCCACCTGTGTATCATTCAACCGTGAATAATCGTATAAAAAATGGCTTTTTGGTGACATCTGCTTTGCGGTATAATAAATAAAAACATCCATCATGAACCCTCTTAGTGAAACGACCAACATGTTAGACGACAAACGATGTACAAGTAACATGATGAACGAGTAAGACAGACATTAGGAGCCTTACAGCCTCGGGGGAGAATCATTTGACAAAAGTCAGTCGGCGTTTCGTTGTTTAACTTAACCAGCCTATGACACGTGCGACAATATGTAAGACAAGTCCATATATATAAACAGTTGTGTATTTACATTTCCGCTGCACGTCCCTATATAAACACTAACATAAGAAATAGCTACCAGAGGGCTGTACGCTAAGTTGTGTCAGTGTCATTTTGAAGCTTATCCTATTGCCTAGCACAACATGACACCGTCGTCAGGGGACAAACATTAAGATGACAACAGGCTGTTTCAGAAATGTAATTGCACTGACGAAAGGCTAACCGAATTTTCAATACTGTACATATTTAGTACTATTTATATTTCTGCAGCACAGAGGTTACCGATTCAAGTTCATAATATCATGAATGATAAAAACTTACGTTTAATCCCTAAATGAATACACCCACATCGAAGATCGGTAAATATGTCCAGCACCCCTGCAGATAGTATAGGGGATTGGGAAAAGAATACCACTGCTGTTTCCGTCTGCGTGTTGTAAGAGGCAACCAATGTGGGAACTCCTAAAGATTTGGGGATTCGCTTTTGTGCCGTCTAGTCTGGGACACCAAAGCGACCATAATAATAAATTGCTGCATCAATTGCAAAATTTGAGATTTTGTGTTTCCTAGCGCCTTGATTGACAATAGTTAACTTACTTTTAGCCCTAGCGTTTAAAGTCCTTAAAATGGTAGTTGTTAATCACTTTAAGAGTTGAGCATTTAGGAAAATGGCAATAATTGGCTACCCCGTTTTGTCAGTATAATGTGACCTGGTTGAATACAGTCCTGGGTGCCTTCGGCATCGTTTTTTTTAGTGAGGTAGCACTTTAAAGTCGGCATCAGATCCGCGCTATCGCAAGGAGGCAAATACACCAACATAACCTGCCTCATGTACACTTAAACACATGCACACATGCATTAAACACATACGGGGGCCCGTCATTAAATGATCACAGCTGTTGATGGGACGTTAAACACGTTTAAATACACCCTGTTTGAAAATCGTCTTTCATGTCCAAAAATTCATTTATTTTAAATTCCAAAAGGGATGCGTTGCAAATATCATGTGTAAATAGATGTTTAATAGATAAAACTTATGAAGATTTTAATTTCATATTGGTATATTGAATGAGTTTGACCTGCCAAGCATTCCATTAGTTTGAAATAAATTTCGGTGTTGTTATTCATATTTATCTAAGTACTGCTTGTAATCAAATTATGTTCGTTCACCACAGATGTCGACACAACGACTGACAACGCATTAATGGAAGTCCGATATCATTAAATGATGCAGATTATGAATGATAAACATTGTATAAGACTTATATGTATGAGTTATTTGGTTTTTTAATATTTGTGTAGGGAAGCGAAAAATATAAACTCGTGAAAATCTGTTAAATATTAATAATACGACTACGGACTAGAATCAAATATGTAATAATAAAAACACATTGACCAGTTGTATTATCGCTTATTCTGTCAAATATGTGTACCTTTGAATTTGAAATAAAGTGCACATAATAACTAGGTGGATTGATTTTATTAAACGAATGTGTGGACGTTATATGTGTATTTTTCTCTGTACTAAGTAAAGTGGTTAAGACGTGCGAAGCGTTGTATAAGAGTTGTCGCCCTTCACCCGTTCATATTGTACATTGGTAAATGGAACGAAGCCGATTTATTTATCAGAATACACTTTTCCTATTATTATTTACCTATAATATTTTGACTTTCATGATACACATGTGAACACATTTTTCAATAAATTGCTGCTCTATTTCCGATAAAATCGTTATAATCGGTCTGTGTGAATTACATTGTTAGCGTAATGAAGCGGGTGTGAAGCGTTTCAATTTAGCAATATTTCAAAATTAATGAATCCATTAATATTTTCTTTATGGATTTGTTTTTAATTAATCGAGGGTTCAAATAGTTCAAAACAAAGCATGGATAAATTGATTGAAGTTTTTGGTCTGTGGTATAAAGGTAATGATATAAATATTAAGGTAGAACAATCGGATCGTTGGTGAATAAATACCCGTACAATTAAGTTAAAACTGTCAATCAACATCTAGCTATTTCTGCTAGAGACACTTAATCAGATAGCATATACTAACGGACAAAAGGCCTAGATGAAACATAGAGATAATTATCAAACTGGGATAAACATGTTAAGAAAGGATGTGCTATTCCTAAATTACCACCGACAGTGTCACTTCTCAGAAAATTATCTCAGCGCATTTCTTCATAAGTTAGATTGGTGTATTTTATTTTACTTTCTTCCAATTTTAGATGCTTTCTGCTGTAGTTTGAAAAATGGCATCACTGAAAGACAGAAAGTCATTATTTTCTTATCAAATTGCAAAACCGGATTGTCTGATCTTTTTTTTTAAATTAAACCTACAAGAACACTAGATGTAATACATGTTCAGAGAATATAACAGAATATCATTCATCATGATTCAAATAGAATATCACACCGGTATTCTTGTTCTCAAAGCCCTTAATGCTTAATAATTTTGCCCCCTGAGTATATAATTGATTTGATTCAGGCAGTGTTATTTATAAAAAGATAGGTCTTTTTTGTAGTTTTGACTGTGTATATAATGTTCGTGCTTTTCCCAGAATCTTCAATTTCTACAAAAATACATTTTGAATTCATGATATCCGGTTATTTCCATATATTATACTACTATATTTACATTTGCCCCCGCGCCGTCCCATTACAACAGTGTTAGAGGGCAAGTGTAATTATATAGGCTATAATTACAACTGCTCGACTATAATTACAACTGCCTGTTTCAGGTGTAGGAATATGTAAACAAACAAAATGGTCGCCTGAAATGTATTTTGAGGCAGGGCAAATGGTTTTTGTAGGAATATGTCTTAAAAAAGAAAAATATGTAAATATAAAAAATACCTGGTTGTCTGGATTACATCCAGGCAACCAGTTATTGTTTAAATATATAACATACGGAAATTATATATAGAAAACAATCTTGATGCAGTATTTATACAATATGAAATGTGATGGACATTATATTATTTTATATTATAGTATATAATAGAGTATTATATACAATTCTACGGTAACAATGTGTGATATCAAATTGTGATGTGCTATATCATAATGTATCTGAAAGTGACATTCTGTATTGTTATGATGTGTAATGCTGTATCTAACTGAATTGGGATATCATGTCTATCATTATATTTGAAGTAAGATCAAAGTGCATGTATATATGTTAGACTACTTTTCGTAATGTACATGTATACTTTTGTGTATGTCTTTGTATTGTTTTGTAAATACTGTAAATGTTTTAATGTGTTGTAAAACACAGGGAAATAAACAACATGAATCTGATCTATACGTCACAGTGCCCAACCACTGTTCTACCATATACATGACTTTAAAGGTGAATTTCCTGTTAAGTTATGTTATTTTCTCTGTATTCATACAGGTAAAGGAGTTAAACTTGATTTTTCCCCCAACATTTTCGAACCCCGAGTTAATATTCAAACATGTTAATAAACGTATTTTAACACGTAAATATTGATATCTGTTTCCTTAGCTGACGTAGTATATAATTATATGCGTTCAGGGGTAAGGTTTCGGGTATTCCACAGGTGTATAAATAAACCCGGAAGATTTTCGCTGAATTATAAATTAACTTTATAACACGTTCTACATTATAACATGTAAGAAAATGGCCGGTCGTTCTTTACTAGTATTATGTGGCTGTATCGGAATATGTGTTGCGGTGCCGTCGACAGATCCTTTATGTGGAATGAAGATACGGATCACAGAGGGAGGTCTAAACTACGGTTAGTAAACCATGTCGAACCATACATTTTAAATTTTTCAACTGTCCTTGTGTGTAAGTTTACTTCACGTTGCCTTTTTTGTTATCATTGATTTCAAATTTGGGCAAAGTTATTAACAAACAAATTCACACTAACTGTTGATTGTATTAAAAAAAAACGATGATAAAATCCCATCTCTAAAAACAAATATGTACTATAAATGAATTACTCGCTATATCGTTATTTTAATAATATATGTAATATTAACTTCCTGTTTCTACAATGCGCTGGAGACTGATGAAAATAGACTATAGTTTGCAGATGTGAGGGATATGGAAATCCTACCGAGCATGGGGAGTATGGGATCAGAACAGAAGCGTGACGATGTTCTGATTCTCCCCCCCC